TGGTGAGACCGCTGATTGGTTATTGTTTCAGTCGACACCTAGAAAGGCAGGTAACATGGAGTGACCTATACTGATTATTGTGGAGAAAAGGTGTGGCCTATATTTGCACTAAGAGGGACAACCTCAGCCTTTACACACTACAAATAAAAGGGAGCTGTTTTATGGGGCTTTTTGGAATAACTCCCAGTCATGAAAAACACAAAGAAAACTACAATGTAGTTGCAAATATTGCATTAACCCAATAAAAAGTGCTTCTAATTTTGACATCTTTCAGATTTTTTTTGGTTTTAAAGTTGAATTTTATCTGCACTTCTAAGAACATTTTTGGTTTTTAGAAATCCTTCATTATAGATATACATTCTGCAGCCTGTCTGTTCACCACAGGTATTTCTAGGAAATGAAATTACAGTCCTCTCCTGCTGAATGCTAAAATATTTGGTGATTATGTCCACTGTGTATCCATCCAGCAGACAGTCGCTGACATTCTGCACAAAGGGGGTAAACTGAACTCTACAGGTCACTGAAGCTTGGGTTTGCTGCATCCAGGCGTGTTAATGGAAAATTGGGGCGGAGGAAAAATGAATCCTCAAGCATTTATATGTGAATTATAGAGATCAATATGAGCGAAAGCAAAGCAGACACTGAAGATGGCCTTAAGGCTGCTAGTAAAGCAACCAGACCATGCCTGATCTCCTGCATGCTGCCCTGCACTGATGAGGTAATCAGGTATTCATTACAGACACGGTACAGTAAATGAACATTGATGGATGGATGTTTAAAAAAATAATTTCTAATCCATCTGAGGTCTAGGTGACAGTAGTAGCCTAACATTTGTTGTCACAGCTCTGAAAACAGCCCTCCAACCGCATTCCTAATAGGCAGGGCTCCTCAATTACCACACCCTCTGTTTTTTTGTGACTGTAAATATTTCCAAACGGTCAAAATGCTTTTCTGTTGAGAAAAAAAGTCTATTCTTTTGTCCCATTGACAAGCAGAACACAGATTCTATGTCACACATAAAACTCAGGCGTTTTCTCCGACATCTCACTGACAGGACTTTAAAGCATAGGAGCAGTATGATGGATTCACACATTCCTGAACTGGTTTCACTTTAAAATCCCTATTTATTATGAATTTATAAACATATTTTCCTTCCACTTAACTTTCTTTAATTCAGCATTCTGTGAAGAAAAGCTGCTGTTACTGCACTACCATCAAGTCAGTTCTCGAAGGCCGATATTTTATGTATTTCATTCAATTAAACATAACGTAACTCATTCATGAAACCAAAACCGTGACTGAAAGGATCAGAAGGAAGTAAAAGTTATATCTTCCACTATTAATAAAAAAGGGGGACAAAAGTATTACAATGCAAAAATAGCATACAATGTTTACTAATTCACAAATACAATAATATTTCATTAGGTTTTTCGTTATCATGGCTTCATCATCGACAGTTTCAATATTTTTTATAGTATAGAAAACCTTTTTGATTGTTTTAGATTGTTGAATTAATCAACAGCTCTATTAGAAATACATGCCAGTTTGTTTTAAGTTTTATTTTCTCTCTCTTTCTGTAAATCTATTCGAATATTTTTTTTCATTATTTTTTTCCAAGTCTTATACGTGAAAAAATTAAAATCTAGATAAGTAATTTTTTTCTTAAAATAATTTTATTTCTTCTTGAATTGAGGAGGTAAAAGAGAGGTTTTGCTAATGGAACAAGACAATTTAGATTTAAAATAAGAAAACACAACTGCATCATCTAATGATCTTATTTTAGGAGCAAAAATACTGCTTCCATTGGAAAACTATCTCATTTATCTACTAAAATTAAGTATAAATACACTTAATTTAAGAAATCTTTACTTATTTGTAGATTGTTTTTCAAGTTTATTTAAGATTATATACTCTATCAATTCATTAGGCTTTAATATGATTAAAGGTATAAATATTGGTTTTGTATGATCTCTGTGGCCACTATATGGAGTCAATTTTGCTCCATTATAAGTAAGGAACACATACTGGAAATGCAAATTTGAAAAAAAAAAAAAAACAAGCAGCAGCTCAGAAATTAAACTCAGAAAAATATTCATACCCCAAAAATATTTCCTTAAAATTTTTATTCTTTCAATTTATTTTTGTTAATTTATTTTCATATCTTTTTTTAATTTAATTTCTTACATTTTTTTTTTTTTTACAGATTTGAAATGTAGTTTTTTTTTTTTCAAGTTTCTCTTTTGAGGGTATGTTATATAAATACTTTCCTTTTCAAATAGTTCTTTATAAATCACATTCTCTTCATTTTAAGCCCAATAAAAACGTTAACGTCCATGCAGAGCAATAGAAATGCGTCTTTGCTCCTCACATCAGTGGTAAAACCCGGCTCCCATAGTAAGAAGAGTTTGATATGAAAAACCCAATAAAAAAAATATATAAAAAACTGTTTGTAAAACTCAATTTTTAAAAAACTGAAAAATTTAAAATATTAATTTGGAATGTGAAATGTGAATTTCAAATCTGAGAACACTACTGAAGCCAAGATTGGTCGTGTCCCTCTTATCCTTTTTTTTACCGACGTCTACTCGAAAAAACAAGTAAATTTTCTAATTATCTAAAGATAATAAAAGACAATTTTTTGTGATAACGAGATGATGGGTTTTAAAACCGATTACATCCTTCAATAGCACAACAGCTGGAAATTATTAATAAGTATAAATCATGGCAGCCTGTGTGTAATTCTGTAAATAATGCTGTGTTTAACTTTTATGTTTCGAGACGACGTTGCTGGTTTGATGATTCTCTTCCACTTCTGATTCATAAGCAAATCGTCCTATGCCTGCGGCTGTTTTCTGAACAGCCCCGGTGTTACGCCTGTAACAGGTATCACATGCATAAACCCCCAAATGAATCCAGAATAAAGATTTTCATTAAAAAAACAGATTTTTTTTTCTACTGTATTCCATGCAGTCCAATCATCCTCGACTGCACAACTACTAGGCATGGATGGACTGGGAATCCAGGGCTGCTGATCAGCCTCATTCATTACTCATACAGGTTAATTATCTCCTAATCTCAAGAAATTAACAACTGTTTTATCCTGATAATGAGATAATTATCTCGTTATCTCAAGAAAATAAATTAATGGTTTAACTGTGATAACGAGATAGTTATGTCGTTATCTAGAGAAGGCAAAGGGGAAAAAAAGGCTTCCGTAGAATGCAGCAAACTTTCTGTCTTTGTTATAACACTACATTTGATCATGGGAAATATGTGTGCTTGACTAGAGGGGGAAATTTCATAAGGAAGACGAAATCATTTCTAAAGTACAATATTATGTTTCATAGGTTAATTCAAAGAATCAGAAAGTGCAGCTTAAACCTATTGCTAAAGGTGAAACTTTATTGTTACATATACAATAAGTGGAAAGATGGCAAACTGAAAAACAGTCTGCAAATACCACAACAGAATCTGCAAACCAGAAGCGGAGAAAGTGTATTCAGGGCAGATTTTATTTCTGTGTGTCTAGTCTAAGAATACAGAATATAGAATTGATTTTGACCTTTTTTTTAGTATAAAGTTTTATTGCTAAGTTGTTTCCCCCCCCAAGTTTTCATTCACAAAACATGTTCTTTGCTTTCAACATAATCTGGAGGTCTTCAACAGGGGGTCCGCGACCCCTAGGGGGTCCATGGAGGAACAGCAGGGGGGTCTCCAACATTTTGTTTGATTACTTATTTTTATATTCCCCCCTGCAATTTTTTCCCACTAATTGAAATGTCTTTAAATCCACATTGACATGAATTCAACACACTGTAGTAAACAGATAAATGGAGGCAGAAGATGTCTTTCAGTCATCAATGCACACATTCAGAGACACACAGGAGCTCTTTCAAGCTGGGAACCGTTTCCTTCACAACACCTGTCCCATCAACCAGGAATCAGAAATACTTTAATAATCCCAGTGAGGNAAAAAAAAAAACAAGCAGCAGCTCAGAAATTAAACTCAGAAAAATATTCATACCCCAAAAATATTTCCTTAAAATTTTTATTCTTTCAATTTATTTTTGTTAATTTATTTTCATATCTTTTTTTAATTTAATTTCTTACATTTTTTTTTTTTTTACAGATTTGAAATGTAGTTTTTTTTTTTTCAAGTTTCTCTTTTGAGGGTATGTTATATAAATACTTTCCTTTTCAAATAGTTCTTTATAAATCACATTCTCTTCATTTTAAGCCCAATAAAAACGTTAACGTCCATGCAGAGCAATAGAAATGCGTCTTTGCTCCTCACATCAGTGGTAAAACCCGGCTCCCATAGTAAGAAGAGTTTGATATGAAAAACCCAATAAAAAAAATATATAAAAAACTGTTTGTAAAACTCAATTTTTAAAAAACTGAAAAATTTAAAATATTAATTTGGAATGTGAAATGTGAATTTCAAATCTGAGAACACTACTGAAGCCAAGATTGGTCGTGTCCCTCTTATCCTTTTTTTTACCGACGTCTACTCGAAAAAACAAGTAAATTTTCTAATTATCTAAAGATAATAAAAGACAATTTTTTGTGATAACGAGATGATGGGTTTTAAAACCGATTACATCCTTCAATAGCACAACAGCTGGAAATTATTAATAAGTATAAATCATGGCAGCCTGTGTGTAATTCTGTAAATAATGCTGTGTTTAACTTTTATGTTTCGAGACGACGTTGCTGGTTTGATGATTCTCTTCCACTTCTGATTCATAAGCAAATCGTCCTATGCCTGCGGCTGTTTTCTGAACAGCCCCGGTGTTACGCCTGTAACAGGTATCACATGCATAAACCCCCAAATGAATCCAGAATAAAGATTTTCATTAAAAAAACAGATTTTTTTTTCTACTGTATTCCATGCAGTCCAATCATCCTCGACTGCACAACTACTAGGCATGGATGGACTGGGAATCCAGGGCTGCTGATCAGCCTCATTCATTACTCATACAGGTTAATTATCTCCTAATCTCAAGAAATTAACAACTGTTTTATCCTGATAATGAGATAATTATCTCGTTATCTCAAGAAAATAAATTAATGGTTTAACTGTGATAACGAGATAGTTATGTCGTTATCTAGAGAAGGCAAAGGGGAAAAAAAGGCTTCCGTAGAATGCAGCAAACTTTCTGTCTTTGTTATAACACTACATTTGATCATGGGAAATATGTGTGCTTGACTAGAGGGGGAAATTTCATAAGGAAGACGAAATCATTTCTAAAGTACAATATTATGTTTCATAGGTTAATTCAAAGAATCAGAAAGTGCAGCTTAAACCTATTGCTAAAGGTGAAACTTTATTGTTACATATACAATAAGTGGAAAGATGGCAAACTGAAAAACAGTCTGCAAATACCACAACAGAATCTGCAAACCAGAAGCGGAGAAAGTGTATTCAGGGCAGATTTTATTTCTGTGTGTCTAGTCTAAGAATACAGAATATAGAATTGATTTTGACCTTTTTTTTAGTATAAAGTTTTATTGCTAAGTTGTTTCCCCCCCCAAGTTTTCATTCACAAAACATGTTCTTTGCTTTCAACATAATCTGGAGGTCTTCAACAGGGGGTCCGCGACCCCTAGGGGGTCCATGGAGGAACAGCAGGGGGGTCTCCAACATTTTGTTTGATTACTTATTTTTATATTCCCCCCTGCAATTTTTTCCCACTAATTGAAATGTCTTTAAATCCACATTGACATGAATTCAACACACTGTAGTAAACAGATAAATGGAGGCAGAAGATGTCTTTCAGTCATCAATGCACACATTCAGAGACACACAGGAGCTCTTTCAAGCTGGGAACCGTTTCCTTCACAACACCTGTCCCATCAACCAGGAATCAGAAATACTTTAATAATCCCAGTGAGGAATTACTTTAGTTACATTATTCCAGCTGTAATAGAGTGACTATAGGACCAGTTTGATAGAACACAATTTGATAGAATATATATAATTGGGGGGTCCGCGCTCCATCTCGGCATCCTTGGCCTGGAAAACATTGAAGACCCCTGGCATAATCAACATTTGGGTAATGTGTTTAATATTGATCTATTTAATATCATTAGAGTCTTAACCATCTACATTAAATCCCTAATGCTTCCATCACACTCTGCGTATATATCATATATTTTTTCCTTTTTTAATCCGCTCATGGAAGCAAAGTAACCTTTCCATGTTTAATTAGGTCCCACCTGTGCTGCGCTTTGTTCATGTTTGTAATTCTTATTCAGAAATGTGAGTAATAAAGTCTCCATGTTGTGTTTTTTTCCAGTGTGGTCAGTGATTATGACTCATGCTGAAGTTCAAAGCAGGGCCGACCTCTCCCCGCTCAGGTAACGCCTCCCCGACGTCACGCACGCCGACGTCAGCCGCCTGACGGACAGGTAAGGCGACACCGGCCGCCATATTGGGAAAGAACGGAAGTAAGAGAGAGAGAGAGAGGGAGATTAGAGAGGTGGAGCAGTTTCCGAGAAAAGGGCGTCCTCCTTTTTTTCTTCTTCAGTTTGTCTCTCCGGAGCAGGAAGGGGCGGTCTCTGCGCCACACCACAGCCGGAATTAGCCCGCGTTCGCTCGGCTCCGCTCGGTTCGCCTCCAGCCGACTCAGAACCGGAGCAGAGGGCGAGAGGAAGAGGAGAAAGAGCCAGGGTCGGGACGTTTAACGGCGGGAGAACAAGCTGGAGTTTACAGAGGCGGCGGAGAGGAAAGGAGAGCAGGAATAAAGGAGGAGAAGAAGAGGAGGAGAAGATGCCTCTGGCTCAGCTGGCAGATCCCTGGCAGAAGATGCCGGTGGGGGGGACGGCTGGAGAGGTGAGAGCCTGCAGGGACCAAACCCTCCAACTAACTCTGCTCACTGCTGAAAGCTCTGAAAGCTGCAATATCCAGCAGAAATATTTAAAAAATAAACAACTAAATTATATCACAATAATATAGTTTAATAACAAGTTAACTTTTACATCCTAGAAGCAGAAATAGACTCTGCAGGTCCCAAAGAGGGCTGTGTTTCTGTAGAAGCTCGGTTTAAGCTCAGCTTCATGTCTAAAACAAGCTGCAACATGTCAAAAGTGGAGCAGTGGGACTGGAAGATGCGCAGGAACGATAAGGGGCTGCAGAGTCTGCTCCACAAGCTGCTGGAAACTTTGCATTTCCAGATTATTCTGCAGAAAAGAGCTTTGTGTGAAGGAGTCACTGATCTCTGTAATGACTCAATTTGCATTGTGAGCCTCCAAATGTGGAGCTGTCACTGCAGCTTACAGCCTGCAGGATGATGCCTGCACTAGAAAACCTTTGGATAAGTTAGTTCTCTTTAAGCTCCTGCGAGTGGGGCTACATCTAAAGCAGAAACACTGAAGGTCATCTACATGAAGGAGAAAGCACCGCTCATTCAGAAGGATTAAATAAAAGTGAGCTAAAAGCTTCTTATTTAGGTTAAAGAACAACTTTTATACAGAAAGATGCTTTATTACCAGATGGAATAATCTAAAGGCTCAGTTTAAACTCAGTTTTAGCAGAAAAAACAAGCGTACGGTAAACATTTGAAATGAAGAGATTGCGCACATGATAAGTATAATGTTTCTGATCAGAAAAAGGGTTTTAGTTTTACTGCAGGGGATGGAAATCCTTCTAAAAGCCAACAAACGGGTTAAATATTTGCTGAAACGTGCTGGAGCTTGTAGAAAAAACAAAAATGTGACACCCTGATGTGAAACCAAAAAAAAGAAAAATTACAAAGGGATCAGCAGCTGCACGTAAAAATGTCCTCCACTCACCAGGATCCAAATGTAAACGAGAAACTGCGAGATGATAAAAGTATTTCCCACCCTGACTTCTTCAGCACGCAGTTGGCCAGGCCAATGTTTGTGACCCTCCTCTGATCGCAGAGGGTGAAACAAATATGAATGGATGCTGAGGAAGCTGTGGAAAATGCACATTAAAGCTCGGAGGAGAAAATGAGATTACAGAGCACTTTAAACCATCGCTATGATCTCAGAGGAAGCCATGGTGGAAGAAACAAGACACCTTAGTTTACATTCCAGCAGAGGCTTAACAGCGAGGTCAACTTTGACTCATCAGCTGATGGACGGTCTGCAGACGTACAGAAAGTTCACTTTTAATTGTCTGCATCAGATAACTCATGGTTCGCTTTGTGCGGCCTGGAACTTTAAAGGACGCAGCCGATGCTCCAAAAATACAGCGACAAACATCAGGATCTGTTAGAAATAAGAAAAAATACCTGATGGATGATTATTATGAGGAAGGAGGAGCTGCTGAGATGTTCTCGGGTGGTTAGGGGAGCTGGAGGGGATGCTAGAGCCCGCAGCATCACTATTTTCATTAGACACAGTTATGATGAGTAAATTGGGTCCATTTAACAAAAAAAAGAGCTTAGATATAAGGTTAGTTAGAGTCTGGATCTGTACTGTGGGCAGGATATGAAACAAAGTGCAATATTTCACAGCATCCTGTACATAAAAAGGTTAAACTGAATGTTTTTTTGCCAAATCTAAAAATAAATCCTCAAGTTTGAACTCCTGTTGTATCAAAAAGTTGGATTCAGTTTATTCAAATCTGACTTTATGTGATCCTTTAAAAAAAACAAAAAAAAAACAGTGGGTCTTCTGGCCTTTAAGTTCTTCTCATCTTCAAGTCATTCGATCTGGACCGAGCTGCGCTCTGAGAATCGTGCTCATGTGTGGGAGGGAGGCGTTCCGACCATAACTGGATCGGCAGCCTAAGCTGATCATTAATCCGTCATGAAGGTCAAATAAAGTCACTGCAGGGAAATCCAGAAGTTAAATGTGTCAAATGATGAGAGAAAAGTTTAGTTTAAAGGGGAAACGTCTGTTTATCTTCTACAGAGAGCCTCCACTCAGCTACATCTGAGGATTTAGGTCCATTCTGGGTCAGAACCTGCATGTTGGAGCCGTAGGGATGAGAACCATGGTGATAAAGTGATGTTCTGTAGTGATCCGTGTCTGATGCTGTGAGGAAACAGCAGCTTCTGTGTTTTTATGCCATCTCCTGTCATAGTGGATGAAGGTTATAAAATAAAACATTTTGATTTGGCTTTTAGTTAACAGGAAGAATCAGTTTTAGTAACCTGGGTAACCCTTTGACCTTTTTATCTTTCTAAGCTTTATTTAGGCATCTGTTCAAAAACAAACCTTCTCAGGCTTTGATATAATCTAATCATCCGTTTGATGGTGCGGTAGATCAAATCCAGCGCGCTTGTTTTATCTGCTGGGTGATTGGGGCTAAAGGTGTCCCATCAGTCTGCTTCCTACAGACCCGTCCTCTGCTGCCGAAGACGCTTTGATTTTATCACAGAGAAATCAGAATCAGACGTGGAAATAGAAATATGAGATTGTGCTAAAAAATGCATGAAACCAGGGATTCGTTTGATCAAGATTCAGGAAATTCCTAAAATATTTAGCAGGCAGGCGCCTGAGACGGCTTCTGCATGTTTAGTTTTTTTATGCTGAGGAAAAGCTCTAAGCGACTGCTGCTAAACTCTAAAAGCTGGAGAAGAGATGATGGGAACCGTTGTTAACTGTACTTAAAGTCCAAGTCACCACTTCCTCGAACATCCCAGACGCTCCTCCATCGATTGGCTGTCTCTGCTTATGTCTCAGAGGGAAGGACGCCATGGCGCCGTTCTCCTCAGCACCACTCTGAAGCTCCTATTGGCACCAAAGATTCATTCATATCGCATTTTTAAGATGTGGATTGTTTTGATGCAAATCAAAGATCTAAATTTAAACAAAAAATAAACATTTATTAATAAATCAAAGAAAACATCATTAATGAGGAGGAAACTGGAGATGGATGCATGCGCTCTATGATGAAAGGACAAATACAGGAATGAAACGCTAATTTCAGCCACAGATATCGTACTAATCCATAGCCACTTTATTAGGTCAGTTGGTTGGTAATTGGCCAATCGGATGGCAGCAGCTCAGCCCATTGAGGCTTCAGGATGAAGATGGACGGACAGGGATCAGTCCAAAGAGTATGGACCTCCGACACAGAAGGTGTGTTATAGAAGAACATTTTCCTTCTTCCACATTCAATCAAAATTCGCACCAGATTTGGATGAAAACTGGATTCCTTTCTGATGACGGTGGACCGTCTTCTGATGGCTGCTTCCATCAGGACGATGCTCCGTGTCACAAAGATCATCTTTAACTTGTTCCTTGAACATGAGTTGACTGGACCCCAGTGGTCTCCGCTGGCCCCTGATCCCCGTTCAGCAGAGCATCTTATAGTATGATTGAAGTGGAGATTCACCTCATGGATGTTAGTGAGGCAGATCTACATCCAGTCTGTGATGTTTCCATGTTTATTTGGTCTAACTCAGGCTCAGCTCAGAAGAGCATTTCAAAAACATTCTTGACTTTATAAAAGAATGAAGGCAGTTCTGAAGAGCAGTAAGGGTGAGAGCCAATCCCAGCTGACCTCTGACATGTCTGGACATACAACTTACACCAATATTTTTATAGACTCGCTCACTTATCCTTTTGGAATTGTAAATAAACGATCTCGCTAACATCTCTTCTACCATCTGCAACCAGATGATCTTGTGCTGATTTCAGATCAGTTTATTCTCAGAACTGATACCAATGTATGGTGTTTCCCTGCTGGAGCGTCGATGGATCAATGAACGAAGAGCTTGGCCCTAATTCGGTCCGATGAAGCTCAGATCCATCTGAGAAACGTAGGAAAGTCGGTGTCAGCAGCCTGCCTCTGAGAAAGGCTGGTGTCATGATATGGGCTCATGCCTGCTTGTTGGATCGAAGCACAAAAGTCCAGAAGAGGTTTTAGAAGATGTTACCTTAATGATAACGGATTTAAGAGACATCTGAGGATTTTTCATCTAACTGGGGGGAAAAATCACATCCTGAATGTTTATCAGACACGGAGGAACGAGATAGCAGCGCCTGAGGTTCTGAACTGGTTCTATAGATGGATAATTTAGACCAATGGTATGAAGAGCCAGCACTGACGGAGACCTGAGGATGTTTGGTGAAACTTCGAGCCTCTTAAAGTGCTGGGGGAGGATGACAGGAAACGGTGGAAATTGTGTAAAATCTTTGCTGAAATAAACGACTGGGCTTGATCAGAGCAAATATTTTGGATCCGTTTTGCTCAGCTTTACCGAGCATTTTTTATTCCAGAGCTCCGTGTGAGAAGGATCTCCGTCGGGATTTACGTCTGTATTGTCTTTTTCTCAGAACCTCGGGCTGAGAACGGCTCCCTGCGCTCTTCCTCTCCTTCCTCCTACAAGTTTTGAGTCTTGATAAACATCAGGAGGCGGAGCTGCCGCGATTGCATGTTTCAGGAAGAGGCTACATCTGTGAGAGAGTGTCCATTTCCTGTATGAGGCGTCACATGGGCGGCATGGAGAAACGTGTGCATGGCTCTCTGTGTTTTACTATTCACTGTGTACCAACAGACCGACCACTCGTTCCTTCTCCATCTCCCCTCCTCCTGAGGGACTCGGACCTGCTTGGCCTGCCTGCTGCTCGCCACAAACAGGAACGTGCAATAAAACCCACCTTTGACCACTTAGCTGCTCCGTCCTCTGCAGTGCAGTTAGATCAGAGCACAGAGACAGTGAGTCACAGAGAAGGCGAGGAAACTGTTTTTTGCTGAGTGGAAATAAAGATTGTTGCAGCTCTGGTTCTGCGGCTCTGGTTGTGTACCTGTGGTTCTGGCGCTCTGGTTCTGGCGCTCTGGTTCTGCAGCTCTGGTTCTGCTGCTCTGGTTGTGTACCTGTGGTTCTGGCGCTCTGGTTCTGCAGCTCTGGTTCT